ACAGGCCATGTGAATAATTCAGCTTTATTAAGTTCTATAAATAAATTATGATGGAGTAGTATAATTTCTGTTTCCTTCTCATATAAAACACCCAACATTTTCTGCGGTTTCAGGGCAACGCAAAGCAAGAGTTCAGACACAAAAGGGCAGAACTTTTTTTGAGAAAAGAAAACGCTATAAGTATAGTATTTCGGGGTAAATTACAAATTTAAAAATTTTTACAATTTTTTTAAGAATTTTTTTGTGTACGCAAATTTATTTTAGTATAATAAAGTGCAAGTTTTAAGCGATTCAAAACTGGCGTTAATTTCTTTTAATTGTCTTTGAAAATGGTTTGCGCATTTTCTTCCATAAGAAAAAAGTGCAAAAAGCCGTCAGCATAAAAAATATTAAAAATCAACACCATTTTGCAGTAGCTTAAAATTTCCACTTTACTATACAAACATTTAATGGGCTAAAAAACTGCATACTCAAAAAAAATCTAAAAAATTTAAAAATTTTGTAATTTTGTAACCGGTGTAAAAAAAAATCATAACTCAAATTCTTGTAGTGTGCACCCCGAAATACTATACTTAAATATTGCGCAACACTCAGAGCTACCATTGTGATTTTTTTCATTTTTTTTGAGATGGCGTATTTTCAAAAATTAGTTTTTTTATTAAAAAAGTTGTATGTGAAAAGTTAAAAAAAAATGTTTCTTTTCATAGAGAATTTGTATGTGTGTATGTGTGATTTTTTCAAATTTTTTCCTCGCCCCGTTCTCGAGATATTTGGATAACTATTAAATCGATTTGTTTGTGTGATGTAAGGCTTTTAAAAATGTATTAATCAGGCTTAAAATTCATATTTATTTATTATTTATGCTTATCTATCAACCCTAAACACTGCTGGAAAGCGCTATGTGACGAAGTGGATCGCGATCCCTGGGGCCAGGGATACAAAATAGTGATGAAAAAGTTCCACACATCATCGCAAGCGATGGATGAAGCCCGAGTTAAGAATATAGTGGATGCGCTATTTCCCACACACCCACTAAGAGCAGATACAGTGTTCGTCGAGGAGCAAGCCGAGGCACCACTGTTTTCGACAGACGAGCTGAAGCTAGCCCTGCGAAGCATGAAAGCCGGCAAGGCTCCAGGCCCAGATGGCATACCAGCGGAGGCAATCAGGTTAGCAGCGAAAACGAGCCCTGATCTCCTGCTTAACATGTACAACAGCTGCCTTAGGGCCCAGGTCTTCCCAAGCCAATGGAAGAAGGCGAGACTGGTACTTATACCCAAGGGCAAAGGGGACCCAAACTCTCGTTCATCCTTCCGGCCACTCTGCATGCTAGACACAGCAGGCAAAATGATGGAGAGTCTGCTCAAAATACGCTTGACGTCAGCCATAGAAAGCGAGGGAGGCCTTTCACCCCAACAACATGGCTTCAGGAAGGGACACTCAACTATAGGAGCAATTGGCGAAGTAGTCGAGGCGGTACATAAGGCCGAAGAAGCCTGCCACCAGGCGCGGCCAATAGTGCTGCTAGTCACACTGGACGTCAAGAATGCCTTCAACTCGGCAAGATGGGACGACATGCTGGAGGCCTTGGAACGGTCATTCAAGGCTCCAACATACTTGCTAGATATGATCCGGGACTACCTCAGAGACCGTTGGCTTTTTACACAACACAAGGTCAGAGAAAAACCGTATAACCTGCGGAGCGGCACAGGGGTCTGTACTTGGCCCGGACCTCTGGAACGCCACGTATGACAGTCTGTTGCGCAGCCATGCCGCAGGAAGCTTCTGATGACAGCGGTCCAATCGGTGCTCCTGTACGGGGCAGAAATATGGGCCGGCGCATTGAAAGTCAAAAAATACCGGATTCAAATGTCTTCGGTCCAGCGCAGAGGGACACTACGCATTGCTTCTGCATACCGTACAGTGTCCGCGGACGCGGTCCTAGTTATTTCTGGCGTCATGCCAATCAACACCCATTCTCCCCTCAACTTCACCCATTACAGGATTCTCGGTTTCGGAGGAAGATATATTGCTGGCTATTTCATTATTGAAGCCTGGTTCGAAGCCCGACTCTGAAGGGTTTTCACCCATGTTATTTAAAAAGTGCTCTACAGCATTAGCTTATCCTATATCTCTTCTTTTCCAAAACTGCTTAGATAAAGGATTTTTCAACGACCAATGGAAGTTATGTTTTATTACCCCGATTTATAAATTTGGGGATCGCAATAATGTCTGTAACTATAGACCTATAGTTAAGCAATGTACGTTAGCCAAATTATTTGATCAAATAATCCAATCGATCTTATTTGATCGTGAAAGGGTTTTAATATCCAATAGTCAGCATGGATTTTCTTCCGGTAGATCAACCTGCTCTCTTAACTAATAAGATAATTAAAGCCTTCGATAAAGTCAAACACAGTATACTTTTACAAAAGCTGAGAAGTTACGGTATAAGTGGTAAATTGCTAGATTTTTTCGAGAGCTTTCTAACGCAAAGAAAGTTACTTGTGAAAATTGGGTCAACACCATCTCAAGGGACTGTTAATGCATGGTCGGGCATACCACCGGTACGCAGTGTTGACCACTCTTGTTTATTTTATTTATAAACGACTTGCCTAACTGTTTTAATTTTGCAAACTGACTGATGTTTGCAGAAGATGTTAAGCTTTTTTCAGTTGTGCGTGATCTATCAGATTGTTATCGTCTTCGGTTCGATCTAGATGAATTTCAGCAGTGGTGTACATTAAACTGTTTGAACCTAAATATAGGTAAATGTTGTGTAGTTACGTTCTCGTGGAAGTCTACATAGTAGTGATATATCTTTTGACTGTAAATTAGATGGTTGCGTTTTAAAGCGGAGCACTGAAATAAAAGATTTGGGCATTATTTTTGACTCCAAACTCGCGTTTACCAAACACGTTGACTATATTGTATCTAAATCGTTCTCAATGATAGGCTTTATTAGACGCAATACTCAAGAGTTCAGAGATCCAATAACTTTAAAGTCTTTTTATATCTCTTTAGTAAGAAGCCGTCTGGAATACTGTTCTATAATATGGAGTCCATATTATGAAGTGCACGCGATCAAAATTGAAAGAGTTCAAAAGATTTTCACCAAATCCGCTATTAGCAAGTTGCCCTGGCAAGGTTATGTTCCTCCCTATATTGGCAGACGGAAACTGCTGGGTCTCCAGTCTTTGAAGGAAAGAATGGATTACTTCTCCATTGTATTTATTTATAAACTAATCAATGGGCACATAAATGGCGCTTATTTAAGAAACAATGGGCTATTGGTTGGTGCACTGCATACCACGAATTATGCCAAAAATGAACCAATTGCTAGATGCATTGAATTGTGCAATACATATTGTAGTGTTATCGACTTTAACTTAAGTACTGATAGATTTAAGAGTAATTTGTTTACAATATTCAACTAGATTCTTTACTAGTCTGCAAGAGACTAATTCTGTAGACTGAAATTAATAAATAAATAAAATAAAATTGTTAACCAAGCCCAATGCCTATTGGCGTTCGATACAACAAAAAAAAACATTACCAGGGCGATTCTGAACGGAAACTCCCAGGGAGTTTTCTCTTTTCTCTTTCCTCCTATCATGGATAAAAATTCGGGAACATTATCCAATACGGAACCACGCTTTCGAAAAAAATAAAAATGAGGGTTTGCAGAGCGGGTTCCCCTGATTATAAATCCGAAAACTCCCCCCTCGGAAGCTTACAGTTTTTACGTAATTTGTAGTGAAAGTTGCCAGCAATGTCGAATTCAACCTCAATTTTTACTTTTTGCGCGATTTTTCTTTTTACAAATTTGTATTATTATTCGTCGAAGTATTGATTTTTAAAAACAGTTCTTTAAAAATAGAGGAGTTTTATTATAAGCATTCAATATAACTACATACAAGTAGTGAAAGGGTATACTGCCATTATTTCTTTTTGTTTGGGAAATGTGGAAAAATTTCTATACACATTTATAAACGCGTTTTACTTAATTAATTATGTATAATTAAAGTGTTACAAACGCATGCAAACATTTTAAGGGTAGCATATTACTATAAATATAAGTGAAAAGTGGCGTTTTAAATTAAAATTTTGTAATAGTAGTCGGGATACTTTAACAACAAATTACTTAAATACTATTAGCAGCAACATTGTGAAAGTTATAAATTCATTAATAATATAAATATCCCCACCGAGTTGTATAAAAAAAATCCGTATACTTTGAAGGATATATGTAGCTATTGGTTCCGTGATGGAAATCTCAGCTTTCGAATTTTCTCCTCCCAAATTGATGGGGAAAATGCTATTCCCTTTGAGTTAATTATTCGAGGATTTCTCT